AGGTCAATAACTAGTTCTTCTTCATCATGGTCTCTGAAATTCACACCAGTGGGGGAATAGTAAGTTGCATCCCTGAATATGGGAAGTGGTTCAGAGATTTACAGATGAAAAAAACTGCTTTTTCAAATTCTATCTCCTTTTCAGTGGAAAGAGTCTTATACCCAATATGCCTTGTCATGTCATAGAATAATTTGATGATAAGTATGACTAATCTAAAGAGGCAGCAGTAATCTTTTGTCCCAATAACAAAAGAATGAACATCTCTTAAAAGTTAGAAGCAAATCCTTGAAGGACATTCAGGATGTGGAATGATATTCTAAAATAATGACTGAGAATGGAAAGAAGGACAGTCAAATAATTATCTAAAACAAATGGAATTTTGAGATTGACTTTGTAAGAAAATTTTTACTGGAGAATTAGCTTGTTATAAAAGATGAAATAAGATGGGTCTGAACATATGATACAGAGCTCACTTATTCATCTGGATGATAAAACGTTTTCTAGGATAAATTATAGATAAATAGCAAGAAAAAAGAAAAATAATATGAACAATTTCATAAAAATTTGTCATTAGGAAAATTATTAATAAAACAGAAGTCAAAACTGGCTTTTTTCACTTTTAATAAAAGAAACAGCAGATTCAGGACCTTTTTCTGGATGTGTTTCTTTCAGTCAGACTTGACTACTGCCAAATAAATAAACAAGTCCATGAAGTTTTCCTGGGAAATATTTTTGGAAATAGTATTCCATTTTTCTAGTGCTGAAAGGAAATGACTGGTCCAAAGACATTCAGTTGGCTAGTGTGCTAGAACTTGTATTCTGCTAGGGACTTTAATTCAGTGCCTTTAACTAACTACTAACTTGGCTCTCGTATGAAGAATATATCAAATATGAGGATCAAAACATCTTTAGTATAACATAGAAGATGTATAAAAGCCAGGGACTGCAAAGACTTTTCAAAACATCAAAGGGATCTCACTGTTGGAAGGTGTTAGTTAGAAGGGTACAATTTTTTTTCCAGGATATAGGATATACCATGGGACACAGTGAAAACAGACATGAACAAGTGGAGAAAATATGCAACAATGACATTACAAGAACTGGATGTCCCTGCATAATTGATGAAAAAAGAAGAAAACTGCTCTGAGGAACTGCAAAGTGGCCTATAACACATTAAAGTAGCTACGGGAATTTCTGGCAAATACTGGTTGTGTATTATATGTGACAACAATCTCCCATATTCTTCCTCTGTCTGGGCTGTGGGATAGGGTGGCAAGACAAAAACATTTGCTTACAAAGAAAAACATCCAAGCCTGGCTACACTTTGCAAAAGCCTATATTAAGTCTGACAAAAGCTTGTGGAAAAATGTGTTAGGGTTTGATGAAACCAAGGTTAGCCATAATTGCAAAAAGTATGGTTAGTGAAAAAACAACACTGTACACCACCAAAAGTACACCATACCCACAGTGAAGCACGGTGATGGCAGTATTATGCTTTGGGGCTGCTTTTTTTCAGATGGAACTAGGGCTTTAGTCAAGGTGGAGGGAATTATGATCAGATCCAAATATCAGTCAATTCTGGCACAAAATCTTTAGGCCTCTGCTAGAATGCTGAAGATGAACACAACACAACGATGACCTAAAGCATACCTCCAAATCAACAAAAGAATGGCTTTACCAGAAGATCAAAGTTTGGGAATGGCCCAGCCAGAACCCAGGTCTGAATCCAGTTGAACATCTGTGAGCTGAAATGGGTTGTACATAGGAGATATCCTTACAATCTGACAGATTGGAGTATTTTTGCAAGGAAGAATGGGCAAAGATTCCCAAGGCTGATAGGCTCCTACCCCAAGACAGAATGCTGACAAAATCAAAAGGCCCTTTAACAAAGTATTCGTTTAAGGGTATACACATGTATGCAATTATGTTGATGTATGTTTCTATTATAATTTTCCTCCCTAAAAGATTTCAGTTTGTTTTTCAATTGAATTGCCCAGCTTAAATTGTTATATTAAATGTAGAAAAAAAACTGGAGGTGATTTATCTTGGTCTCATTTTTTTATATCTCAAAAAGCATTTTAACAGGGTATTTACTTTTTTATATCCACTGTATGAAAAAAAACACTGCATGATACATATTGGTCTTATGTCTAACAAAAAAGAACTGAAAAGATTGATGTGAACTATGATTACTCTATGGATTTGGACAGGAAGATGAAGCTACCACAAGTTCAAACTCTGGGAAGTTCAAATGATGGTTTGAGCAGACACAGAACCTATTGGTGTGGATCACAGAGAACAAAACAAGCTATTACTTTTCATTAGTAAAACAAACTCCTATTTTTACCCCATATTAACATGCAGGTAAGTTTAGGAATTGAAGTCTGGCATAATTTTGCATAAAGCAAAATTCCACACAGCAACTTTTGCAGAAAAGATATATTCATGCTCAACTAATTAGCTATAGTGTAACATGATGATACTGACAGATGTGAAAATATCTAACTGAAATATATATTACAAATATATCAAGATAAAAATTCCCAATGATTTTTTCAATTTTTCAATCTAAATGTCTACATTCCATTATAAACATATTTGGAAAAAAGAATTAGGTTGCTTCATCAACTCATATATCAAATTAATATAGCAATTTAGGAAATGACATTGCAAATATGAAAGTCAAATTGCAATCACTTAAGAGAAATTAAATTATTTTGTCCAAATAATCTAATATAGATCCAAAAGCAAACCTGTAATAATTAAACTGCTTACTTACTTTGTATTTTTTTAATGGTAGATTTATTCAGTATCCTTGGTTACCCTATACGTAATTCTTAGTTTATTTGCAGCTTACAGGAGAAACAAATTTCCTCTCTTCTACATAAAACATTCTTTTATGGCTGAAAGTTCTACCCACACTCTTATCCACATAACCTATTATCCACCAAAAATAATCCCTTTGTTATACTGTAAAACAAATTATGGATTTGAGGGGTTGTATGCCAGAGTTAATTGATGGAATGGCCTATAAACACTAAAAATAAAATTAATAAATATAACATTTTTAAAGTAGTGGATTTAGGGGCTGGGATGTACAAGCATGCATTTGTATTACTCATGTATATTGAGCATTTGGCAGACAGTGGTGAAGAAATGCTCTCATGTTAATCTGATGCGTAAGTTTTTTGTATGTTGTGCCAATGTCAAACTTGGGCAGGGGGTTGGACTAGATGACCTACAAAGTCCCTTCCAACTCTGTTAATCTGTCTGTTTTAATATGTCAGCTCTTGAAGAAGGTGAGCTGAAAATTCAGAACAAATTTCACATTTGCTCAGTGCCTTATAAGATGTAATATATAGCCTCACTGATTGAAGAAATAGTCTCATGTTCTTTATATTCATGGGAAATTCAAGGGCACTACACACACACTACCATAATTCATAAAGTCCTCCAACTGAGCTGGGTTAAATTTTATGTACCAAGGAATATAAAACAGAAAGATTCTTACTTGTTCCAGTGAGTTTTTGAATTTCGATACAAGGATGGAAACATGATGGGTAAAATCTTAGCTGCATTGTCACTGATTAAGCTCATAATATATTCATTATTCCAGTAGTATAGTGCTCGTTCTGCCACCTAAGGTATATGAGATAGTTAGCCATTTAGCAACTTATACAAACCATAAAATGTCCACTATATTCTCTTTTTGATGATGCAATTGTGCTTTGATCTTATTTGATCTATTTCTAGCAGTTCATCTTTCTCTGCATGCAACTTCTATTGTATATATCAGGGCTGTCAAACTTAATTTCATTGAGGGCCGCATTAGGATTGTGTTTGACCTTGGTGGTGGTGGCCAGAGTGGGAGTGGCCACCTCATCATCACTTGAGGCTCCATTTTTTGACCACAGCAGCCTCCTGCAGCCCTCTGCCAGTGAAAACAGAGCTCTGTTTTCCTGGCAGAGGGTTGCACGAGGCTGTTGCAGCTGAAAACAGAGCCTGGCTGGGCTGTATGCGGCCTCCTCGAGCTTCATTTTTGCTGGCAGAGGCATTGCGGGCTGGTCATTTGCTGTTTCCAGGGCGGGCCTGCGGGCCAGATCTAAGCTTGACATCCCTGGTATAGATGGTGGTATGTGACTGGTAGCTGCTAGAACTACTACTACTCAACTATATAATACTCATAGAAATGTCAGAACTACATTCTGACAATATCCCTTTGCTAATGTCACAGAAAAAGCCTTCACAACTTATAGGACCTGATCTAACACATTTTCTGCCATGAAAAAGAAAAGCTGCCTTGGAAAAGCTGCAGCATGCTCTATTGCAATATACAGTATTTACAAAGCATACAGGTCCTAAGTTAACAATATTAATTGAATCAGTATTTCTGTCAGTAAGTGTTGTAGTCGTAAAGCGCATTTTCATGTGATCATGCCACTTAGTGAAAGCAGTTCCAGGAATCTCCAGTTACCTGCATTAAGCAAACCCTCAAGTGATCATGATCTCAGACTTCCTGCCAGCTTCCCCAATGTCTTACTTGTGGGAAACCAACCAGAAATATCACAAATCATGAGCCTTTGCCTGCAAAATGCTGTTTTGGTCAGAAACCTGAGCTGGTTGCTGAGCACACAGATCATAATCATGTGACTGCAGACCCAGAACATCAAGGATCAATTGCAATCATCCAGTACTGTTGCAAGTTCGAACAGTCACTGAACAAGTCACCATTAAAGATTACCTGTAATTGAAAGTGAGTAATAACTTGACTATTGGCATGCCATGTTAATTAAAAAAACCCCACAGAATTTAATGTATTAAAATGACCAACCTGAAAGTGTGGACTTGAGACACACTTTGCTAGCTGCCTGAAAAGAGGTTCCATAACCTTCACAAATTCAGTTGGTTCAATAACATCTAAAATTTCTTCTAATTCATTTAAAAACATAACTTCTTTTGGACTATGAGTCTTTGGCCAGTATTTGAGTAGCGCCATCACCACCTGGAAATACAATACACAAATACCTAGGTTTCTAATTGCTTGCCTCAAATATTACTCTTATATAGCATTACTGCCATATGTAATACATAATTCTTAAAACCAGTGAATAGGGCATTACAAGGAAACTTTTGATCTTTTGACCAAGTGAGTTACTTTGAACTACTGATTCAGCAAACATGACTGAACAAAATTTGAAATTTTTCACAAAGGGTGACCTCAAAGAAAGAGTACTGTTTATTCAAGTGAGAAATTATTATTTTCTTATTTAGAACTTTTTTGTGTATTTGCAGAAAATAAACCCGTCAGTTAAGATAAATATAGCATAGTGATTGGGGCTTCTGGAAATGTCTATTATTAATTCTTTTTTAAATGTCCAAATAGTACAGTATTTAAAACTAGTAATTAATAATAACTAATAATTCAAGCAATATCCAATGGCTTATTGCCTGTATAAACAATACTTATTTCTATGTATATTTATTTGTATTCTGCCTTTATTATGTTTACAAATAACATAAGGTGGTGAACATATGTAATATTCCATCCTCCTCATATTTTTTCCACAACAAAACTGTGAGAGTGTTACTGCCCAAGGTGACCCAGCCAGCTTTCATGCTTAAGGCAGGACTAGAACGCATGATTTTGTGATTTCTAGTCTAGTGCCTTAACCATTAGACAAAACTTACTCAATGGTGAGGTAAAAACACATAATAATAATATAGCTTTCACGTAGAAACATAAACAACAAAAGCAAAGACTAAAGCATTATTGCTGCTTTAGGTTATATTGCCATTTAGAGCCTCAATGCTTAATAAGAGATGAAAACAATTACATTTATAGTTAATATGTTCATGATATAAAGCAGTGTGAAAATTCTCTAAAGTACATGTGGGGATGTATTGTGAAATAATAATTTTTTAAAAATTATTCTAGTGTCTTTCATTATTTCCATTTTCTTCTGAAACAATGCAATCCAGAAAAATAAATTTAAAAATGAAATACGTGTGTCTATGTTTGCTAATTAATATGACCACTTTTATAGTAGTAGATTAAAACCAGAACTATATATACAGATATTATTCTGTAAACTCTAACTGTAAACAGACCACAAATTGTTCAATTTTAAATAATATTTAAAGGCACATTGTCTTTCAGTTTAAATTGTTCAAGTTGTACCATTCTGAACATATGATATGAACAGTGCACGGTGCAAATTAGCTGTTGCAGATGCCAAAGTAATAAGATCACAATTTTAAAAATATGCTGTTTAAATAATTAAATATTTTCAAAAGGAAAAATAAACTAGACTTACTGGCTCTGTAAGTGTGCTGTCCTTTTCTAAAAACTGAACTACGCAGTAAGCCAGCTAAATTGAGAGAAGATAATAATGTTATTAAGTTGTGGTTCAATAGAAATCTTAACATATAGAAAGTTTATCCAGATAAATAAATAAAGAATTTCAAACCCAAAATACCACAAAAGAAAAAAAGATCTGAATTTCAGAGAAATTTTTAGTTGAATGTTTGAAAAATATAACAATAAAGAAATATCTGAAAAATAGAAGTAAAATAATCAGTTGAGAAAAATCTAAAACCACAAACTGTTAATTCTTCTTAAAAATGCCTGGAAAAATAAAAGATGACTTAGTATCCAAAAAACAATGCCATGCACAGATAAACTCAGATACACTCTATTAGGACGTTCCATCCTAATAGAGTAACATAACTGCATAGATTTTTCCAAAGTAATATTTTTGAGGGCCCAGCTAATTATAGTCAAATAAGAAACTTCTGCTCATATAATGATGCCAATTTATTCAATGAGTTATTTGCCACTGCACCCCCTTTTTCTGGGCTTGTGAGTATAACTTTGTATTCAAAGTTCAAATTAATATTGAAAGTACTATATCTGCACCCCCATATATAAATAGTTGGCTGAATATGATTAAGTGGTTTGTATACTTCAGACGAGGTATTATATTATATTGCAATGCACATTCAAACAAAACAGCAAATCACACAAAAATCTTAGAACGTGGTAGAGCAAATCTAATGATGCTAAAATGGAAATAATATCTATGGAAGAGGAGATGCCACTTTCCATGCCTCTCTGAACTCACATAAGCCACAGGTAGAGAATAAAATTATTTTAAAAAATACTAGGCATTTATTTCAATTTCTTTCTCTACTATTATAAACACAAATAAACACAGTACTGCTCATTATTTAGTACTGTTAATTATGTCCTTACTAGCAATGGATCAATTTGGGGCATTAACCAACCTACATTTCTACTCTAGACTCCATATTCTATGCCTACCAAGCTGAAGCTACTAACATACAAAGATTTTGATTTCTCTACTCCACTAGATGAAGCTGTATGAAATACTACTGAAGATTATATCTCAATTATATTGTACAGGTAATCATTAGAACCTGAACTCTTATCTGGTTTTAGTGTGCATTTGTATTATTTACCATTAGCTATTCATTTAGTTATTCAAATAATCCGTTTATGAAAAGATGAACTAGAGGGAGTGGAATCAGAGATTTAATTTAGAAAAATGAGAATTCTTGATTTGCTTGCATATTTCTGTTTAATCACATGAACTTCTATCACTTCAAGTGTGATGTATTCCCCAATGTAGCAGTAGTAATCTACAATGTTATTCAAATAAAAACTGAGATTTTCCAGATAGCTATTTGTGTAGAAAATGTACATCACTTTGCTTGTTAGAAAAATGCCATGCCTGTTATTTTTTTCTTTTTATGACCCTGTAATCTCTTTTATTGGGATGGAATCCCTTTTACTGACTAAATGGAGTTGAGCGTTTACTGGCTGGATGCTCTTCCTGATGTCTATGTGGAGTTTGCAGCAGGTATTTTCTCTTTGTGCCCTAATAGAGAAACATCTAATGCTGCCTAGGATTGACCTCTTTTAACATCCCGAGTGGGAGACAAACACCTTCACCTCTAAACCACTGCACCGCTCATTATTTATGGTAGATTAAGGAGCAAGAAAATACCCAAATAAGTACTCATAAAGAAACATTTTACTGCTTATCAAGAAATGCATATCCATCTATTTTAGCAATTTTCTTGAGAAAGCTTAAAATGCTTGAAATTAAAAAAAATAATAATTAAAAAAAACCATAAATGTAAGTTTTCAGAAATAAACATCATTTTATTTCATAGTTTCCTACTTAAAATTGAAGTTATGTAATTTATCAATATGAAAACAACAAGTACACATCAAACTATTTACCTGTGGATGATAGACACTGAGTGATTTTACTTTGTGCAAAGGTAATAATACCTTGAGAAGGAAAATTTTGTGCTCTTCTTTTAATGGTAAGGCAAATCCATTGATTATACTGAAGAAGAAAGAAATGTTTCAGAATTAGAAAATCTATTGTATTGCTGCATTTCAATTTCATTTTTAAAAAAAACATATAAACATTCATTTTTTTATAAACATATTCTTCCATTAAGATGTGCTTTCATTCAAGTGCCTTTGTTAGACTTCCCAAATAGCTTACAAATACAAATAAAGACAACCATTTCTGTAATGGTAAAGCACTAACCCATTTTGCTACACTAATTCCAAGGTTGATTTATTAGGAGTTGACATGCTGGCATTTCCCGGTTGCTCCATGGGTCTCCCTTGGGATTCCATCAGGGACTTTAGGGCCCTGGCCTGTTCCAGTCCACATCCAATCCACTCTTCCCAGTTCACTCAAGGGCCTTCTCCCTTTTGGGCCTTGGGATGGGGAAACTCAGCCTCAGAGGCTTTAGGAACTTTATTTCCCTGCCAGTACTTATCTGGGTTTCTTTCTTCCCCTGGAGCCAGTCTCTTCGCTTTGGAATTCAAGGAGGGCTGTTCTCCAGCCTTAATTATGCTATCAGTTTCTATTTGCTTCTGGCTGGAGGCCTAGTCTGTTTCTCCTCCTGATCTCTGCCATAGCTGTCTGAGTTTCTCTCCAGGTACCCCAGATGTCAGGGAGCAATTGGAGATTGCTTGATTTGATTGATTGTGAGAGTTGGCTGGCTGAGGAGGGGGGATCCCTTGGATACTCAGGCATTGGGACGAAGTCCATGCTGCTCACCACTCTGAGGGGGGTTAGTCCCGTGCTACTGTAAACAGCATTCTTGTACGCGACCTCTGCAAAAAACAGGAGGTCCCCCTAATTGGATTGCTGATAATTCTTGTAGCACCTCAGATACTGCTCTACCATGGCATTCAATCTCTCCTTCTTTACAAGGTCTGTCATGGGTTTGGCAATCCTCACAAAGGAGGGGATGAATTGCCGGTAGAAGTTTGCAAACCTCAGGAAGCTTTGTAGCTGTCTGTGGGTGCAAGGGGCTTTTTTCAGTTATAACTGAGAGAAGCTATGCAAAATGTTTATTGTTCTGTTCAGTCCAAGATCTATTGTTACTCTTTATAAAATCCAGAAAGCTTTAACTTTAAGCAGTAGTATTTATTATGATTTATAACTATTAAGCAGTTTACCTTCCCAATATTTCCAGTAATTCTGCTATGCCATTGTGATGTTCTGTCTCATAAATAAACCTGAGAAAAAAAATTCATTATCATCAATGGTGCAATTTATTCAACAATATGCTTAGTTGGATAAAAGGCACAAACACAACTTACTTTCATCAATTTAAAACCATATTGTGCATATTTGTAGATTCAGAATTTTTATTCAACTGAATTTTGTATTATTTTTTATTATAATTGAGGAGAGCTAGGAAAACAAAGGGAAAGATATCAGAAAAATATACATAGTGTTACATAAGGTTATCTTAAATTCAAGGTAAACAAGGGATATCAATAAACTGGATTTTTTAACTTGCCTGACTAGAATGGAATTAGAGAATAGAATAGAAATTAATCCAGTACTAATTTGCTTTGAGTAAAACACCCTGAACACAATGGATTTCTAGATTGGAAATAAAAGAGTTGTGATAGTCATAACATTAATGGAAATATATTTTAGTGTGCAAGAACACAATGACCTATTATCAAATCATATGCTGAATATATAGCTACAGTAAATAAAAATGTTATATTTTTTGAAAGATAATAGAAGGACCAGCTGCTTTTTGAGGAGCATTCAAAGGGCATTAGAAAAAATGAAATGAAAAAACTTTAACAGAAATAAGGAACACTATGCAGTTTATGTGGAAAAAAATAAGCCATCATTTTCAGTGCTTGAAATTAAAACAAAATAATTTCAATTAAATTCCATCAGATGATGACAGCCAATAACAGAACCAGTGTGGGAAATACCACTACTAGGAAAATACAAGGAAGAGGCATGGAAATGAAAATAAAAATGGGTTTGGTCCTATTAGGAAATTTTTAAAAAATTATGAAACAGGCTTGAGTTACTACTTTGAACAGGAAAAAAGATATGCAAGTGTGTGTAATGCCTTGACCTTCAAGACTCAAAATGTAATAAAAATTAGCATCTTAAATTGGATTAAAATTAAGTCAGTATAGAGAAAACAAAAAAGGGTTAGCTACTCATCCTCTTTGCAAAAGTAAAGTATGCGCTAAATGTAGATGTAGCATAAATAGCTGTATACCTTGGCTGGCTGATATAGGTAGTCCTGACTTACAGCCACAACTGAATCCAAAATATCTGTTGTTAAGTGAGACATTTGTTAAATAAGTTTTGCTGCATTTTATGACCTTTCTTTCCACAGTTAAGTGGGAGAAGAATAACTGCAGTTAAGGTAGTAACACGGTTAAGCGATTTTGGCTTCCCCATTGATTTTGCTTGTCAGTGGACTGCAAGTTATCACATGACCCTGGGACACTGCAACTGTCATAAATATGAGTCAGTTGCCAAGCATCTGAATTTTGATCACGTGACCATGGCATGCCGCAATGGTCATGTGAAAAACTATTATAAGTCACTTTTTTCAGTGCTGTTGTAACTTTGAATGATTGTAAGTCAAGGACTACATGGAGACAAGGTTTGGATTTTGTGCTTGAGGTGGAAAAAAATGAAACTTTGATTTTGGGTTTTACTGACTGATTTGTTGTTATAGCAATAGCTAGTTTATACTATTATGGAAAAGTAAAAAGTTGAGGTTTCATGTTATTGCTTTATTCTACTGTAACAGGAGTCGGAAGTCAACACTTTTTTCTTTTCTCCCCCCCCCCTTTTCTTTCCACTTTTCCTCCCCACTGTGTCCTATTATTTGCTTTCATATTTTTGTACTTTATTTTTGTATTTTATTCTATAATCTAATAAAAATGTTAATAAAAGAGGACTACCTGCATCACATTTTTAAAAGACTAAACTGAAAAACAGAGAAACTATTTCATGACTGGATCTATTTTATAGCTGCTGCCATCTTTTTTTGCATATAGGTCTAGAAGCAGACATTTGGGGTAATGGTTTAAGGAAAATAAGCCTTCTAGGAATCTCAAATACAATTTTAATTCCTAAAAAGAGAAAAAATAACCTTCAAAAACTACAATCACATAACCCTCCAAAACTACAATCACTGGAGACATATCTAACCTCTCTTTGCTATTGCTGTTGAACTGATTATCTTCTTTAAAATACATTGGCAGAAATTATTGCATTTTGACATCAGAATGCATATCAACCCTTATCTTTAAATATTTGACAGTTACATTAAGATTGGTTTCTAACAAAGGCAAGCAAATAAAAAAAAACACCATAGGATAAAGAAAAATATTTTATTCTATTGTTTTGCTGTCTCATAAAATTTGATTAAATTCTTTATATTTGCTGACTATTTTAGAAGGCAAATCAGGGAAGATTATTAGGTTTTTACTTGTATATTCCAGCGGTTTGGATTTTCAAGAGAGCTCCAGGATATTAAGACCCTCCTAAATAACTTTATTGTAATTGGACTTATGATAAGGTTGAAATCTTGATGAAACCTAGCATATTGGATTAATTCCAAGAGCTGGAATTGATTCATAGAGATGGTTCTCTGCAATGTCTACAAGAAGCTTCTCATGAGCAATATAATGTAGAAAACGTTGAGCTTCCTCCTCCCTAAATGGTCTTGAATCTGTATAAGCTCACCTTAGTGTACCAACTCCTCAGAATGCATTTTTTTTCAATTTTTTTAAACGTCTGTTTTTATACAATTTAATTAGAATTTTTCTTAAGCTTTTTCATTTCCTTCTAACTGGGAATTAACTTTTGTTGGAGTATTATCAGTGTTAAGCACCTATATTGTAACTTCTGCTTATAGATTGCATTAAAAGTTCAAAAAGTTCAAAATCGTCTGAACCCCCCCTTAGAGTAACGATTGTTGGGGCGAGGGGAATGGAATATCAAGGCAGGAACATTTTGTTTTTGTTTTGAAACAACAGAGACTTTAAAAAAAAACTCTTGAGGGTGAAACAGACCTGAAGGTCGGTGGTCTGGCTTAATGCCTTCAATGTCTGACATGCCCCCTCCCCCTTTTTAAGGGGATCTGCCTCTGACAGATTTTGGTCACTGTCATGAGTAGACCCTTCCTCAACCTGTTTATCTGGTCTCTAGTTCTCCCTCATCCTGTGCATCATGTGAAAGTGTAACTGGATTATATAATACTTCCCTGAAGGAGGTACCCGCTGGTAATGAAGGTCCGTTCTGCATAGTCACTAAATTGAGTGAGAATCGAGGTCAGATTGTGGAGGCTGCCTAGCCATCAACTTCTACTGTACCCCGGCTGTGATGCCTCGTCAAATCGCCATGTCCCTCCAGGCCTTCAATTTGTCAGGGATATCCTCTGGGAGGAGGAATTCTGGCGTGGTCCCGCAACTGTCTTGTCAGGCAAGCAGCGCTGCTGAAGGCCTGGGTTGAACCGGTCCCTCTGAGGCTCTCCTGGATGGCTTTGAGAGATCCAGGGATGGAGGCAAGGTGAAATATGGAACACTTCACAAATTTGCATGTCATCCTTGCGCAGGGGCCATGGTAATCTTCTCTGTATCATTCCAATTTTAGTTTTTATGCTGCTGAAGCAAGCGCTCTGGAACTGGGATCAGCCTGGCTGGGGAAGAGGACTGAGACTTCTGTTCAACCTCCCTCATGCATTTTTTTTTTAAAGATATGCTTATCTAAATCATTTTGGCATCTCTTGGCATCCTTTGTTGCCTTAGAGGTCTCTCTGGGATGTTTTGACCTACTTTGAGTTGGTTTATTGTCCTCTGGGGGTATTTTTGGTTGCCCTTGAAGAATCTGACCTAAAGCCCACAAGGTGAGATATCTGTATCTATATATCTATATACCTATATGTGTATACGATATTAATGGACCATTGACTGGTCCAGAGGCCTTAGATAAACAGAGGCAGGAAATCCTCTTGATATTTGCTCCCCCCTTTTTTTGGTAAGTTCAATTTGTTATTATGTTATTATTCATAATTGTGATATCATTAATATTATGTTATTATTGATATAATAATGATTATATTATTATTGATATAATTTTTGTTATATGTGTGCACAGCTACTAACATAAATTGTTGTGCTGTTACCAAACTCATAATTAGATGACTGAATATGGAATCAAATTGTGAAGCCAAATAGAGAACACTTTTCAGGACCTTTATTGCAATTGGGTGATCCTGCAGTCACTGGCCCTCAACAGCTTCCTGCCCAGGCGGACACAGGCCTTGGCGCTCGCTGTTACTGTGCTGCTAGATTCTGTGAGGGCTGCCAACTTAAAAAGGAAGCCCAATAGTCAACCTCAGAAAGAGGTCCATAATCGGCATAAATGTCCCCTGGACCCTCATGGAGAGATCCTTGTGAGGGGAAGTGGTCTCTCAACAGATAATGCCATGGAATTCTTATAAACAAAATGGTGCCGGCGTTGTTTTAGTCGTCAAGATGTAGCATCAACCATCACCTCTTATTGTGAGCCGATGCGAATCTAACTAGAATTTGAGAATTTGAGCAGGAGAACTCTGAGTCCTCTGGCTCCACCCGATCAATAGCCCTTGCTTCTTCTATATACCTTGCAGGAGTATATCTGAAACTACAGAATCTCCTGTGGAGAGATACCTGAGGGTAAGGATGCTCTGTCCTGCTTAGTGACTTGAGTGATAGGGAATTCCAATCAGAAGGAGTGCTCTGTTGTTGGCCAGAGCAGTATGCTACACCCCTGCAGAGATACATTGCCGTATTGCTAATTCCATCCACAGTCTCATTTTGCGAGGATCTTTTCTGGTAAGTCATAATCTTGACAGAATCTGGCCACTTTTGGAGCAATGTGGCCACAGGGGCACTTTGAGTCACTTGTACTGATCTAGATGGGCTATCTGATCTTGTGCAGCTGCGCTGCATCTGGATTACACACACAGATCCAGGGGTGGTTGCAGAGGGGGATTGGAGCCGAAGTAGGCCTGGAGGAGATGAGGTTTCAGAATTTTCTTCATCCTCCCACATGAACTTCTTCATGTGTTTTTTCTAGTACCTTATGGCGCTTGTTAGCGTCTTTTTCTGCTGCTTAGGAGGTACATTTGGAATGCTTCAATTTGTTTTGAGAATTTAACATGGCTCTTGAGCTACTGCCGCTTGCCATTGTGACCGCTTATTAAATTTTACTGTTAATGTGGCTGAAATGTTGGGCGGTTGGCAGGCCCAGCGGCTTGAACCAGCAATGGCTAGGGAACCCTAAAACAATGCTCCCCAGTTTTGTATAACCTTATGTAAGAATACTGAATTCTTATTCTTGTTCCTATTATTATTAACATTATTATTATTTTGTTATTAATATTATTATTTCTGAATTAGACAAATTTGGAACACCTCATAGGCCTAGAAAGGAGGAATTGTTGAAATAAGATGTAGGCCTGCGACAGCTTCCTGCACAGGCAGACACAGGCCTTGGTGCTCTCTGTGGTGCTGCTATTAAATTCTGTGAGGGCATAAGTCAACAGTTTCCTCCTTAATGAATAAGGATCCAAAATAGAATAATTATATCTGAATATCTGTATATATACACACACACACACACACACACACACATGTATACATACACATATATATTAGGGTGATTTCCCCTGGGTTCCAGGAAGGAGACCCCTGCTTGGGGAAAGAATAACCACTCACAGTTCCAGAAATAAAATGCAGATCACTACCACATGGTTAGTGAGTCTGCAATGGCGCCAGCTGTTATCTCTTTAGGTGCATAATGAGTTAAATCGGCTTAACAGCACTTCCACGCCTTGTTTGGAGTCGATACTGCAGAGTTTCCCCTTGAATAAAAAGGCACGGTGGGGCAGATGGGCGCTGATGCTCCCACCCCAGACGGTGTTCCCAGGGGAGAGAAAGAAGCCTCGGACCCTTTTAAAATGGAGCCTCTCCCGTTTGGGCGCGGGCAATCGTAACAACTTGGCTTGAAAAGATCGTTATGGTACGGGCTAAGAAATGTGAGTTGTTAGCCATGTGGCTGAGGCGTTATCACTCTGATCGTCCTGGGGGCGAAAGATCATTATCTGAAGCTACGGTGAGCTCCCCTGGCTTGAGTTATATGCCATAGGGAGCTGCTTGACTCATTGAAACTAAAGGCCTTAAAGGAGTTGTTTTAGAGTTTAAAAGCAAACCTTTTTTGTTGTCTCCTTTTGAAGCCTTAGCTATTCCGGCCAAGGGAAAGGAAATTAAGCTGCCTATATCCACGAAGGCTGAGCAAAAACTGGGGATGTTAGGGAGGAGTCCCATAGAGGAGGAGGAGCATCCTCTCAATTAAAACCCAGGCTATCAGACGAGCAACAGAAGCATCATCCCAAACAAACAATGGATGCTCTGAACAGCTCATCTAGAGAATATAGTTATTTTTTTCTTTTTCTTGATCTAAGTCATCTTGAGTCCTCTCATTATTTTGAACAATTTTAATTCTTTCATCAAAAGTTAAGATTTAAAGTATATATATCAAAGAAGAGAATTTTTTTAAAAAAAATTGAAACCTAAGTAATTTTTTCTGTTATTGCTGCAAAAATAGTGTTTTCTTGATGGAAACATTTGTGGCAACATACTGATATATGTCTGCAGAAAATTTTACTACAGGAGTTGCTATTTGACTTAACATTTTTAATTGTAGAACTGATTTTTTTTCATATATCAAAGATTATTTTATATAATCTTGGCTATTAAAGCTTTTCAGGGTTTCATTGGTTAGTTATAAAAAAACCAGTAGTTAGCTTTAAAAGTCAGAATATTTTGTGGGAATATATGGGAAAAAATTAATATTGCAGGTTGAAAAAGAAATATAACTTCTAACATTTGTTTCATTCTAGTTAGTATATATAATTTTTTAGAATTGCTGGATCATTGTTGCCAAAGATGGAAGAATAACTTGAATTGATCGTTAGAAAATGATTGTTAGAAAACTTTAACTATCAGAATTGGAAGAATATATCAGTGATAAAACATATCAGTTTTCTTTATGGTATTCAATTTAATTTTCCTTTGAAAGTCCATTGTTGCATATTATTACAACATTTACATTATGCATTTATTTAATAATACAATATTTAGTTTGTTTGGTTTCTGAGAGTGTATTAATAATTTGTAAATAGGGTCCACAAATTTTTGTGTGATAAGATTATCAAATTTAGTCAAATTTTTCCCTTGATTCTGCAGCTTTTTAAATACTAGAGTATTCATTTGGAGAGGTTGGAACCAGATTGGTAGTTAAGGCCATTCCAAAGTAAAAGTCTGAAAAGATTTATCTTTATTCTAATCAAATCTTATAATTGAAGCATTAGCTTTCCAGAATCTAACCTAACCTAACCTAATTATAATGTGATTATCATCTCTGGTTAAAAACTAGAATGTATCTCTATAAATAATTCAGTCATTTGTATATCCCATTTCAGTTAAAATCCTTTTCAAACAAGGACATTGATGGGATGATATTGAACATTCAAGCATTCTTGTCATAATTACAACTGACATTCCTTCCTTCAGTAGAAATCTTTACTTCCATCTTTGGTATATAGAACAAAAGCTGGCTCACACAGATAACACTTTTTCACTCTATTTACATTTCTATCTCTATCTGCAGCTGGTACTTCTGTCTTTTATAGATTGGCAAAAGCTGTGGCACAGCTGGCACTATTTTCTTTAAAGGGATTCTGCCATATGTTCTCTTTTGGGAAAACTTTGGCAATGGGGAAAATGTACAAAAGAAAAATGATAAAATATAGTGCTTCTACAGCTTTGAATGAACAATTACTTGTAAAGCGCTCTGCAATCCACCTCTATACATATCTTCTGTACATTAAAAAATACCCAGCTATTAATTCATATACCAAAATGCGGTAATACAGTATTGTTAAGAGTCATGGAACTCCAATTTTAAGTAAATAAAAAAGGTTTTGGCCTGCCTTTTAGAAAGAAAATTACATTACTAGCTGTTTTATAACTGTTTGATTTTGAGAACATTTTTGTTTTCTACCAAAAAAGTTGTAACATGATTAAAATACATTACCTATTACTAAGCATCAGCACAGAATACAGACATACCTATAAAATATGTTGTTAATTTGCTTCCTGATGTAAGCTCTTAGGCCTAAGAATTTTCCATATATTCTGTGCAGAGTAGTCTTAAGAAAATCTCTTTCACGAGGATCCTCACTGTCAAAAAGCTCTAAAAGCTGCAAAAGATGAACATTTATTTGCTTAACTCATTTCAAATTAAATGGAACTTAAAGTTTGAAGATATATTCTTTTTTAACCTCACCTGCAATACAAACTTCTGATCAATATATTTCTTAGCTATATTAGGTTGGAAATCTGGAGATTCTAAAAACCTTAAGAAAAATTCATATACAAGCTGAAAAAGATCCACAAAAATAAAAATTAGTTTTACAATATAAATCAACTTGAATTTTGAAAAGCTGTTAAGGCAATACTAAGTGTTAAACACTTTCCAAGAAAGACCTAAAATCATATCAAAATTAATACAGGTAGTCCTCGACTTACAGCAGTTCATTTAGTCACTGTTTGAAGTTACAACGGCACTGAAAAAAGTGACTTATGACCATTTTTCACACTTATGACCATTGCAGCATTGCCATGGTCATGTGATTTACATTCGGATCCTTGACAACTGATTCACATTTATGACAGTTGCAATGTCCTGGGCTTATGTGATCCCTTTCTGTGACTTTCTGACAAGGAAAGTCAATGGAGAAGCCAGAATCACTAACAACTGAAGTGACTCACTTAACAAATGTGGCAAGAAAAGTCATAAAATGGAGCAAAACTTACTCACTTAGCAACATAAATTTTGGGTTTAGTTGTGGTCATTAGTTGAGGACTACCTGTATGTACAAGATTAATTTCTTCAGTTTTCTATGTTCTGTTTTTTTTTTTTGTAGACAATAAACCATCTTGAACCATTCATTTTACTAAGGCTTGGCAGGAAGTTGTTCATAACAAATTGAGCAATTCTATTTCCCAATAAATATTTACTATATTAATTTCATAATAAGCCAATTAACATATAATAACTATTCTGAATTGTAGATAAAATGTTGGAAGATGAGTGCAAAAATGTACATTCTCCAATAGAGGTTTAATTAGGGTCAATACATGTATCTGGGATGTGCTAGAATTGGTTTTAGCAAATATTATGTGAGATAAAAATTATAAATAAAAGCTAGATAGATTTCCCAATATATTTTAGGTAAAAATTTAATCACTATTGTAGTTGGTGTGAGTTTACTAGTTTGCTGCACCAAAGACTTAAGGCTACCTGACATTTGCCTGAGATCCTGGAATTAGAAATTCCAGAATTCAAAGCTAGAAGGGGTATTAATTATGAAGTTTAAAACCTATGGAAATTGTAATTTCAACAAATCTGGAAGATGCCAGTTTACAAAAATTTGTTTCAAGAGAAAAGTAACTGTGAGATGGGAAGAGAAAAAAGGTTGACTTTTTAATTTTGGAGTATCACAATGGATCAGTGGGTCTGACGTGAAACCCAAAATACTATTTTACTTAAAATTATATGAATGTTTACAATTGCACTTATACCTTCTCTTCAGGTACCACAAATCTTACCTATGTTTAAAGTTTAAATTTCAAAATTATAATCTTATTAAGATCAATAACATTGCATCAAAACATGGTAATATTTTACTTTTTTAAACATTAATCTAACTGCATAATGAAACAGCAGTGTTAGAATACATTAATATGCAGAATTTAGACCCAACCAGATGAAAAAATTCAATATCTAGATTTACATGTTCATCCCACAGTTTGCACTAATTTTGCCATTCCCGAGTTAGAGTGAAAGCATGTATTTCAGTTCTACCTGTAAGTGAGGCCAGGCAGCTTCTAGAGTTGGTTCATCTTCCTCTGGGTCAAATTCTGCTCCCGTTGGATTGGACGAAGGGGGTAGTGTGCGAAACATGTTAACTGCAAACTAAAATCACACTTGATTAAGCAAAAAGTATTTTTTAAAAACCTCCAATTTTAAAAAATATGTTCTTGCATAAATATTTTTAAAAACTAAGCAAATATAAATGTATGATATCTTCTTCTTTACTACAGAAACTTTTCTTTTAAGAAGTTTCTCAGAAAATTCTAATTTATTAAGAGGGGGGAACCTAGAATCTTAAGAGGAAAATGTCCATTTAGAAAAAATGAAATTGAAATGTCAATTTAGAACGTAGTTAACTAGAAAAAAAGTATAATTTATCATAGAAGTGATGCACTGTTGTGCACCACCCAGAGTCATGTTTTTACCCACTTCGGAAATGGAAGACTGAGTCAACCTTGAGCCCGGTGAGATTCGATCTGCCAAATTACAGGCAGCTGGCTGTAGCAGAAGTAGCCTGCAGTACTGCACTCTAACCATTGCACCACCAAGACTCTTATGCCACTATGCTAGTTTTGCCACTATGCTAGTTTTAAAGCTGTGTTCTAATAGTTCTTGCAACAAATGCAGATGTTATGTAGTTTGCAAGCAAGCCTCCCAATCTTAGCTTCACCTAATATACCACTGGTGTTGAAGAAGAGCAGGGTCAATGATAAGCTTAAACACTGACTATGCATTTATGATAAATTTAGAACATTATCTATGTACCATGCAAATTCTAACAAAATTAACAATTGGATGTATAGGACCAAAATAAACACTCCATTCTTCATACTGGTACTAATAACTGAACATAAACTGTTATTAGATGTTAATCATTTAGTATGTATCTGATTGTACAATACGATATGCTTCCAAAAGCCAAGCCTCTTCTGTTATTGTTACACGTGAGAAATTTGTTTAGCAGAATAATTCAAAAGAAAGGGTTTTAAAAAATGTTTAAGTTTAAATAACTTACCATATGTACTACTTCTGGGTAAATAGGCTCAGTAATTACATTGCGATTATGTGTGATGTACTCTACCATTTCACTTAAAGCTGCTCGCTTTACTTCTTTCCATTTCAGGTCACTTAGTGGATCAGAAACGAAGTCAAAAAGGACACAACATTGTCGCAATTTCTGAATAAAAAGCTTTTCTTGCTCAGCGGGGGGAACATCTGAAAAGATTTTTAAAATTGTTATACTTCTTTTACTTATAAATCTTTGCATTATAGTGAATATTACAACAAGATTTACTGAAGACAAACTGATTCAACCATTGACATTTTGTTTAATGCTTATAAATATACACCATAGTTCTCTTTCCCTGGGTTTATTCCTCTAATTCCAACTAATTTAGTAATAGATGAAATATCCATCATTTACAGTATATATCACCTGAAATTTGATGCCCCCCCCCAATTTAAAATTCTTTTACCTGACCTAGAAGTTGGTATTTGTTATACTGATCATATAGAACACTCTCATATCCATAAAAACTGCATTGACTGTTTTATATGCATCTGTCAAAACTCAGCATGTTCCCTCTGAAAGGACTGTACTCAACAGAGAGTTGGCAAAACAATGTCAATCAGAATAGAGCTGGAAGGGATCTTGAAGGTCTTCTAGTCCAGCCTCCTGATCAAGCAGGAGACCCTATATCAGTGGTGGCTAACCTTTTTGGGCTCCTATGCCAAAAATTGTGCGCGCGCTTGCACGCTCGCACTTAGGTGCCAGCACCCAGAAGGAAATGTGCACCCCATGCCTCCTCCTATGCATGCACGCATAATCTCCACCCACCCCCGCCTCCCCGTCACCTGCATTGCGCCTCACAGCTGATTTTCGGCTGGTTTGAGGCCTTTTTCGGCCTCCCAAAGGCTTGAGGAAGGCTTCTGCAGGCTTTGCAGGCCGAAAACTAGCCCTGTTCCGTCACTTTTGGGAAAACAGGAAGTGACAAAATGGGGCTAGTTTTCGACCTGCAAAGCCTGCAGAAGCCTTCCTCAAGCCTTTGGGAGGCCAAAAAAGGCCTCAAAACAGTCAAAAATCAGCTGTGAGGCATGTGCATGCCCAGTGACGTAAGTTTGCCTGCAGCTCATGCGCCGGCACAAATGGCTCTGCGTGCCACCTGTGGCATGTGTGCCACAGGTTCGCCATCACAGCCCTATACCATTTCAGACAAGCAACTGTCTAATCTCTTCTTTAAAACCTCCAGTGATTAAACACCCACAACTTTTGAAAGCTGTTCCACTGGTTAATTGTCCTCTGGAAGTTTCTCCTTAATTCCAGGCTGCTTCTTTCCTTGATTAGCTTTCATCCATTGCTTCTTGTCCTGCCCTCTGGTACTTTGGAAAATAAATTGACCGCTTCCTCTTTGTGGCAGCCTCTCAAATACTAGACTACTGCTATTATGTCCCCACTAACAAAATTTTAGGACTTTCACTGAAACCAGCTGCAAAATGCTATGGCAAAGTTACAGAACTTTAGCCATGATGATCTGTTATATACATGGAAGAAAAATGGAGTTGCTGTTGTTTTAGTTGCCATACATCACTCAAACGTGATGCTAAAGTATCAGGAGGACGAGGGAGGAAAAAGAAGAAGAAAAAGAGGAGGAGGAGAAAGAAGAAGAAACAACAACAAGACATAAGCATTGTAGTCTCTGGCAGGTATTTATTTAGAATAAAAATGCCACCTGACATTCTCTGGGGAAAAAAAAGAACAAAAGAATATGTGGTTCAGGGGCTCCATGGAGTTGTTCCTATGTGTCTATGGAGATTCTCAGTCATTCAGGTCATGGTTGTCCCAAAAGTGCTTTTTTTCAAGAGGCAACTGGAGTTTCTGTTTTTTCTTTGAAGACATTTTGCTTCTCAACCAAGAAGCATTTTCAGCTCTGATTGGATGGTGGCGAATGGAAGGTTATCTATTCTTTGCAGGCAGCTGGACATGTGCATTCTTTCAGGGTTCATTAAGGTCACCTGGAGGTTTATCTATGTCATCAGGGTCACCTGAGTGTTCCTATGTGGTAATAGGCACTGATGTACAGAGATGTTTTTTAAAAGCCCCCATGGGAGTATGGACAGTAATGCATTCAGCCTGGCTATTGTGAAGGCCTGGTAAAATTTCAGAATTAGAATGGAGGAGTGATAAGATGATGGCACATGCCAATTTGATAAAAATCCAGAGATTGGGAAGACTGAATGTTAGACTTGGACTAGCTTGGAAATCAATATCCTGTCTATACTGCTTAAGATAATTCCTGGCATTTTCAAATTGTAATGGGCAAAGAGTCTCCAGTAAAAGACATGGATTCTAAAATCTTGTTAAGCCAAGTTGATTTAAAATGGTATTTGAGAACCATTCAGACTAGGCCCAAAGGGAAAAAATAATGTTAACCAAAAATTAATGAGATAATACAAGGCTCTGGCATTTATGGAAACCAAGCTTCTCTCTAGCCATGGCAGTATTCCTAATGCATCTTGGAACTACAAGGATAGTTTGTATAAACATTATTTTTTTGAAGGGAGATCAGAAAAAAAAGTATACTACTAATACATTTGCAAAAACTTCCTCAAAGGAATTCCTAAGGCTTTTGATCTATTTCTTTTTTAAAAAGCTAGGAAAATATTTTTATACAACTGACATTTATAGAAATTTGTACTCAAACACAATTGACTAATTTATTCCAATAAATAAAACATTTTTTACAATATACCCTTACATTACTTTTAAATAAAGTCACGAATAGGACTTTAAATAAGTCATTACAGATAATTATTGTATAAGAATATATTAATAAGAAGTAAACATGAAGATTCTATTCTGCTTTGCATGCTTGAAATGAAAAGATTTGAAAGAAAACATTTTCTTAAAACTGCAGGAAATATATTTCCTATGCTGACAGCTTCAAGCATAAATAGAAGACAAAACTATAGTGGGTAACTGATTATTTAAGATTAATATTAAGTGATTAAATATTTAAAAGTCAATTAAACATTACATTAAAGGGTTTTTTTATTGTATGTTCAGATTTTAGTTATTTGATGTGGCTTAAAGTGTCCAAGACTAACTTAACATAGGAACACAGACAAGTAGAGATACAATGCTAAGTCAAATTCAGTTGCTGCTTTCGTCATTGTTACTAGGAGACCAGTGATAGCAAAGAGTTTGGTAATCACAGAGAAGGTGCTAAATGATAGCTATTTATGAATAGAATACCATTCTTATGACAACTGGCTTGCTCTGAGATCCCTAAATATAAAGAGAAACTAGTATTAACATATCACTTTAAATTGTATTGTTGATTTGGTTTAGCCTAGCTTGTTGTGTGAACCCACTGTGATTTTATTCTATATATTTTGATCAAATAATCTAGGTTTAGACAAAATGATCAACTTTATTTTACAGAAATTTAAAATGAAATTAACAGTGTTTTTTTCACATCTTTCCAAACATTGCTTAATGCAAATATTATTTTTGTAACATAAATGGCTAAAATTGAGTTTGCATATTCAGTTTGAGAAAATATAAAAACTATAGGGCAATGCTGTCAATTATAATAAAACATAATCATGGAACATTAATTAGTAGATCAGATTTACTGTACCATACATTATTCTTTGTTAATGTACTTGTGGCTGTCTATTATGAATAAATTTATATTCCCAGAATAACTTCTATTGTACAGCATCTGTATACAAGATGCTCTAATTTAATATTAATTAAAAACATCACTCCGCAAATAAATGTTTTCTTTAAACAACTAACTATATGGCAAAAAGGGTAGAAAAAATGACCACTCAGCAGTGTTTTCAGGATTTACTGCTTTTGCCAGGTTGACAAAAACATACATTGTGCCATCAATCCTACCCTTTCAATTATATATGTGATATCATATCACACATACAAAAGGGCTGCTATGTCATGCTTCTTTCATGTGTTTGACTATCTTGCCATCGGTGTACTCCTGAGCATACACAATCAAAATATAACTGATGATCTTCTTATATCGGACTGAATGACGAAAATTGAATAAATGTTTACTAATTTTCAAAGAATTATAATAGTTGCATCAGATTCTGTGTAAATGATATCGAATAATCCTCATTGTCCCATTTTAAGTAAGGATTTCAGGTTAATCACTAAAAGACAGTGGTAGAGCCAGCACTGTCTTTTAAAAGAATTGTATATGTAGCAAAAAGTGAAAAATAAAGATTCCAATGAGTTGAGTTCAGCTCCAAGTAACTCCAGTTATGTGGTTTTATTGCCAATATTATGGAAGTGATTTTCCATTACCTTCTTCTAAGATTTTTCCACTTCCACTTTAGCCCATTATGTTGGAATTGTGGACCCCAGCTTCTATTCCCATCAGAATATAAAACATATACCACAAACCATGCTGCCATATGATTTTAAAATCCAAATGGTTGGAATATATATTGTTGGGAACTGAATATCAAGTTTCAATACATGGTTAAGGATAATGGGCATTTAACAATTGTTAATAATATCAACCTTAGCTTACTTTCAGATAGAGATAGGCACACTAAATTAACTAAATACATTATGTAAATTATCCACAAGGCAGTTAAGAAAACAGCAATCTTATAGATTTCTGAATTTTTCATTAACAAAGTCACAGCAATGTTGACAGTATACAACTTTTTGTAAAGGAAGTTTTGTATAACATCTAACTTTTATTATTAATTTTAAATGAAAAGCTGGTATTGTAGGAAAATATGACATTTATCAGCATTGACTTTACTCCCAAGAAAGCCTCTTAATCCTTCATTATTTCATAGTAAAATAAAAATATTGGGAAAGTATTGTTCAGTGGTTTATTTGGAAGAGTCTGTACATTGCCTGGACAAGTGCCTGCAGATTTCTTTACAAGATTTTGGAAGTGGTTTGCCATTGCCTCCTTCTTATGGCTGAGAGAATGAATGGCCCAAAGCTATTCAGCTGGCTTTGTAACTAAGGCAAGGCAAACTCACAGTCTCCAGTTTCTATCATGATTCTTTAACCACTATACCAAATTGGCTCTCCTATCCTCTCCATGGACACTTTATTCTATACATGGATTAATAAACAATTTTTAAAATACACTAAATACTTTTCAATTTGTATCAATTTAGTTAGGAAAAAATATTTCTGCATTATCCAAAGTTGCTACCACCTGATG